TTCCCATAGAGATTACACGTAAACGGAAAATGGAATTCTCAAATCCCACTTTGCAAGTGAAATATGAGCATGATCCCGGCATCTGATCGAAAAATAAAGGGCACACTTGTGATAGCTTATTGTCTCAGCTAAAACATACTCAAAGCTCAGCGTAAACAAAGATAACAATACGGAGATATTGCTCGCGAAAGACGAGAATGTAGAATCCAGTTTTGAGAAAAAATCATGTCCCATAGAATATACACGCAAAATGTGAAAAATTGACATGCCTCCTTTAATCGCAAAAATACGCCATGATACCATTGTCAAAATGAAATATCGTTGCAAATATATTTGTAGAGAATATTCTCAGGTAGAACATATCAAAATTTAAAAGAAAATTAATCAATATTTACAGAGATACAATCAATTTTCCAAAAATCTGCTGACGTCATAATATGCAAATTGAAATTTTGAGTTCGGAGGCCATTATGATGACGTCATGAGTTAATTGAGGGTCAAATGAGACATGAAATCATATCTCCAACTCATAATCTATTTAAATATGAAAGAAATTGGGGGGTATCTATCCATTCTGAAGAGTTACAATGAATTTTGTATAGGCATGTTTTTGCCCATGTATTGTGGATACAAATAGCGCAGGTCGGCGTGCGCGTTCAACTTTGACAGCCGCTAATTCCGTTATTACTGGTCGGAAAAAGGTAAACAAGGTATCAAAATGCTTGGAAAAATGTAATAAATATGATAACAGAGAAAATTTGGCGATTCTATGTTGCAAAATATCAGGACGCGTGGATACGCGCGGAAACGCGCGCGCATAATTACGCACGCGCAAATTTTAAAAATGCTTACAATGGCCTGAAACGTGTGCAAAATTTTTTTGAAATGAATTAGAGCATTTTAAAATGTTAATGCGCGCGTACGTGCGCGTCGAGGTGCGCGCACGGATTTTGTTGACATTTTTAGTTGACCTTTGACCGGAAGTTGATGTATACTAAATATGGTTTATTTTTTATTACTCGTTATTGAGATATGATAATGACCTGATTTTTACAAAATGGCGCCTGGATGACGTCACGATGACCCCATGAACTTGAAAAAGGGTTCGGGAACTTCATATCATAGGGCCTGATGACTAACAGAAATTTGAAGGAAATTGACCAGGTCGAGTTCGAGTAAACGTTTACACAAAAAAAGTGTACGGAATAAATAAAAAAAAATAAAGAAAGAAAGAATAAAGAATAAAGAATAAAGAAAGAAAATTCTAACGAAATCAATAGGTGATCTGTCATCGACAGACCACCTAATAATAATAATGGATTCTTATATAGCGCTCGTATCGACCTTGCAAGGTCCTCAAGGTGCTCCAACATTACCTGGCTATGCTAGGCTGCCGATTTCGACGCTCACAGCATTTGAAGGAATTCCTTCCTACCGGTACCCATTTAACACCTGGGTGGAGAGTGGCAAATGTAGATCAATGTCTTGCCAAAGGACATTAATATATTAAATATGATATCCAAGTTGCTGAGTACAACTTTTAATAAAAACAATCGAAAGGAACGTTTAAAACTATTTAAGGAAGGTTGATTTTGTTAACGTCAATGACGTAAATGTAGGCTGGATGCAATTGCCTTGAGTTTGAAAATTCTTACATTGTCTAAACCTTTATATCCCCGAACAAAAAGCAAATGGTTATCTCGTCTTTTTATGAAGTTCAAAAGGTGTAAAGGATGATAGGTTGGACAATGCGTCTATTGGCATTTTAAAAGAAAATGGTCGTGGTAGTATAAAGGGGAAACATTATATTGTAAAAAGATCATATCTAGAGAAGGAAAATCTGATAGCTTTAAAAACGAGCAAGATGACGATACAGCAGAGTTCGTACATAAGAAATATAGGGCATTGTGCCCCCTGCATCCCGGCTTTGCTGCCTTCATCTAGGTGGTGGAAACAAATTCTTGTTACTGTACAGTGCTGTTTGGATTCTTTAAAATTAGATATCACTCTTTAGAAGACCGCTAAAGGAAATAATTTGAAAGCGGCAGTGGGAAATATGGATAAAAGGGGCACATATCAGAGCTAGAAATGGCTATTTCTCATACCTCAAAAGAGGCACTCATGAGAGATGAAAAGTGGCTCTTCCTAAAAAGGAATGAGGCACTGCTTGGAAAGGAAACGGGGCACGTGTCAAAATAAAAGGAGCACCTAGAAGTAAAAAGGTAAACCTCGCACCTAAACAAGGGCACTCATAAAAAGGAAGAAAGAGGTATTTATTACGAATGAAAGTGGGCACTTTTTAAAGTAAAAGGGGCTCCTATAAGTTTAGAATAGGAGAACTTATCAGAGGTGAGAAGAGCACTTATAAATAGGAGAAGGATCACTAATTAGAAAGAAAAAGGGCACTGTTGGAGTAATCGATAAAGAGTGGGGACGCACTGTGCCCGGGGGCGCAGCCAATGCATCCTAGGCAGTACTATAAATGATGGAACATGTAATAATGATAATAACATTCAATAAAAATAATAACAATTATAACAATTATAATACTGATACTGATAATGATAATATATTTTGCTTCTAAAGCGCATTTCAGGACCATAGGTCCTGTGAATATTCAGATGACTTTTTAAATATTTTTTTTAAAGATTCATTTCTTTCTTTATTGTCTTTTTTAATCCCTTGCAGATAATTCAGCAATATATCTTGAGGAAGGCGAATCACATTTCATCTCCTTACCACGGACCCGAACATCACAATGGTATAAAGCAAGCATTCTACAAACAAACGCTATGAATGGATTTCGAGTTGTGTTCAAATATTTGTATCTCCGTTATTATGATGATGAAGTCCAAATAGGCACAAGTAACGATACGTCTGACATACAGTCTGTCATAACAACTATCCATGGGTCCATATACTTCGCTCCTGTCGATGTCTATGTAGATACCAATGAGATGTGGTTTGCTGTCATAGGAGCAAAGGGTGACTCCATTCTTGAAATGGACGTTGAGATCATTTCCATTGACCTATCAAGTGAGTGTTGAATTATTGTTCTTTTAAGATATCGGCGGAATATAAAGCTTTGTCTATTAGTGAAGCAATGATAACTGGTATCTTACTAGTTATAAAATGAGAATTATTAAACACCGGTCGACTGATGAAGGTAATCCATGTTTCCAGTGTTACCAGAAAAAAATAGTATATAAAGAAGGTGAATTTTAACGCGCCTAATTACTAAAAGTATTCAAAGAAGCATAGTGTATTCAATTGTTCAAAGCATTGTGAGCTATTCATATGTTCTTTTTCTCTCCATCTTCTATCCTCTACCAGCCTCGTTTACCTGTTCAAGCTCTAACATGAGCGTGTCACGGACTGCCCTTTGCGATGGACTTTACCAATGCGATCATTACGAGGATGAAATAGCATGCAGTAAGTCAATAATATACAAATATACTAAGCTGTGAACGCCCCTCTGAAAAATAATACTATGCCAGTTCCTCCTCAGATAAATAATTTCCCCTATTTTTACGAACTAAAAGCTTGGTATATAATGTTTTATATCTCTTCTTTACGATCCGAACCGAATAGCTACCATAATAACATATTATGTTATGCAGGGCCCGCTGGAAGAGAAGTTTCATAACTGAAGTGGCTACCCTGGGTAAATAAAACGTTATTATTATTATTTATTACCAGCTGATTTGTATCTAGCGCTATAAAGCGCGGGGCTGTCCTCGATTGCTTTTCTGGAGTAGGGGCGGGCGGGCGGATTTTTTTTTTTTTTTTAATTTCATTTTTTTGTGTCTTTTTTTTTTTGTTCAATAAAAAAGTTTTAAAAAAATCATTGGGATGTCAAGAATTTAAACAAACAAGGTCAATAAAACACTTTAATATGGTAAAAGTTTAGTTTAATGTACAATAAATATCAAGACCAACACAGAGAGTATTTTTGGCTTTAAAATACAGCACCTTTTAAAATGAGTTTAAGAATGCTCAAAACCTGATTTGAATGAATGACATTTTATAGTTAATAAATTATTGCGTACTGGAAAGACCAAACTGGCAACGGGACGCATTTTGATCCTTGCAAAATGCATAGAATGGTATGTTAGGCGTTTAAAATTGCTCAACAAAAAAAACAAAAAAAACAAAAAAATACGAGCGCCCGGTATGAAGTATGAATTAGTACCAACTGATTGTATGATATCTTGCAAATTATGAAATTACCATCTTTTTTTTATGGATCGCAATTTTTTATAAATCAGCTGTAAACCCCTGTGAGGACTCGCTCAGCTGGTCGTCTGACACAATTTTTTTTCAATAAACAGTGAGCATGCGCAGTAGTGCCTTGAAAGAAAATATCAAATAGAGCATGCGCAGTTCTGCCCAGGAAGAAATAGTAACCGATACCTGTTCAAATTTAATCGCCTTTTCCTGTTTATAATGTCAAGTCATAATTTCTATTAGCGAAATTTCGTGTTTGAGGTAGATGGGTTGAAACTGACCTGACTATTTAGTCTCTGTTTCGGGAACTCCGATAGATACGGTTAGGTCGATAATTTTTTTTGGGGGGAATGATCTTTCCTCTAGGTAAATTAAGGGGGGTCGAATCGTATGGATATAATACAGGTTTTTTTTTAGGGAGAGGCTCCCACATTATCTGTCAGTGCAAGATGATGAACCTTATCTATCGATCTCTAGTTGAAGAACTGATATGAATCATCTACAGGTAACTTTTTTTCGTTGCGTTTTTTTGTTAAATGTATTTATTTCTTTATTGTTTTCTTTTTCTTCCCCTTACAGATAATTCAGCAATATATCTTGAGGAAGGCGAATCACATTTCATCTCCTTACCTTGGGCCTACACAACACGATTGTATAAAGCAATCATTCTACAAACAAACGCTACGAATGGATTTCGAGTTGTGTTCCAATATCTATATCTTAGTGATTATGATGATGAAGTCCAAATAGGGACAGGGAAAGACCCGTCTGACATGCAGTCTGTCAACACAACTATCAATGGATATGCAAGCGCTCATGATGATGTGTATGTAGGTTCCACTGAGATGTGGTTTGCTGTCATAGGAGCAAATGGTCACTCCACGCTCCGAATGAACGTTAAGATAATGTCCATTGGCCTATTAAGTGAGTATGTGATTATTATCGCCCTGTCTTGTTTGAATATAGTTTATGTTGGATATCACTGCATCGCTCAATGTGTTTCATACTCTAGTCACACCAACAATATGACCAACTCCGCACTGACTGGTGATCGCACAAATAATTGCATTGTCATGTTTATCTCTAGCCGCCAATGAAATCGGTGGCATGGAGTCGGTTTGGAGTCAGTTTGACGGTTCGACTGAATAGATAGATAGATGGTTAGATACATGATTTTAATACAAGTAATAGGAGGCGAAAAAATCGTACCGAGTTATATAAGATACGTAAGAAGCAAACGCAAAATCTGATTTGGAATAATAAAAAATCTAGTGGAAAGCAGATTTCATGTGTAGATAGAATAAACCCTTTTAAACAGAGAAAATATCATTGAAGACAAATTCATGAAAATACGAGGAAAAAAAGGAAAGAAGTCAGTGCATAAGTATGTACTTAAAGAGGACGCCTGAATTAAGAGCCATGTGGTATTGCACTATTGAAGATAGAATTTTTAAAGATAGATTTGCATTTAACGTGTACCAATTACCCAAAAGTAAATATTCTGCACATAAAAACAAATGTATAAATCAACCTCATTTTTTGTCTTTATACCTATCGGCTAACGGATAGTAAGTGCGGGCCCTTTTCTATTTTAATTGAGAGAGTATTTAAACCTGCAGTTTCTCTATATAGAAGTAATATTTGAAGCCTATAAATTTGATATTGTTTAGCAACATGGAATCCCTGACAACCGGAGCAAATGACTTTTGGTGATTGGTACACTTGAAATAGGATAAAGAGAGTTCGTATAATTAATAAGTGTGTTTGAAGTTCTTTCCAAAGTAACTATATTATTGACAAAAACTGTGCAATTACGTGGAAGGTGATCAGAACAGCTCTGTCTCGTTAGATAGGTGTAGATTAGAGTAATTCATGATAAAAAATGGGGAAATGGGGTCGGAGAAAAAAATGCTTACTCAGTAGATATTGAATATTCTAGCAATCTGTTGATTCATAGAATAACATTATGTTTTAACTTCATAATGGACACTTGGATTATTTAACTTACATTCCATTCATGCAATACAAATTACCGGTAAGAAAGGATGGTTGTTTGACCCGTCGAATTTAAAGGTCTACGATAAAGTACGAACTTAAAAATTCATGTATAATTAATGTATAAGAGTCCAATATAATTAACGAGATCAAACAGATTGTGGTATTCTGGTAAATATGAAAGACAGTGTGTGTGCTTTCTGATAACGTCATTCCTATGTAGTAGGAGATCTGTAGAAAATTCATATGAAAGGGATTTTTTTTTAATGAAATGCAATCCTATTTTGAAAGTAATGATTTTTTAGACAAAAATGTGATTTCGCATGTGTTATATGATCCATGATTTCTTACATTCAACACAAATTTATTTAGTTCAATTATTACCAAATGGAATGTATTTAATTTTTCCCTCAGGAGCAACACCGGGAACAACACCAGGAACAACACCAGGAACAACACCAGGAACAACCCAAGGAACAGCACAAGGAACAACATTCGGCACACCACCTCAAACAACACCAGGAAATACAACAGCTACAACACTGGGAACAGCGTCGGCTACTACGCCTGAAACAACACCAGCTACAACACTTGGAACAACAACGGGAACCACACTAGGTACTACATCAGGCCCAACAACAGGTTAGGTCAAGTTTTGTTTGGGGTTTAAAGCTAGACCCCCTATTGTATTTTTAAGGATTAGGGTTCTCTGAATGTCATGTAGTTATTGCCTCTGTACGTATAGTAAATGTAATTTTCAATGCCAAACAGCAACTGATAACCACGTAAATTACGCGCAGGAATCTTTGAATATAGGCGTTTAGTTCTATAGTAATACATATAACATTTATTTTTTGCCGCTGGAACAACAACGGGAACAACCCCAGGAACATAGTTGATTTCTCATATGTTACTCTTATTATTAGCATTCCATTTCTTTTTAACTGTAAGCCTTTTTATTTATATACTGACATGTCAAATGTGTCTACGTTTGTATGTAAGTGTGTATCTATGTATATGTTATTCACATTTTCACATACATTCATTTAAACTCCAGCGAAATGCGTTGTTATAGTGGTTCTATGGCATTTTTCCAATTGTTCAAAACTCTGACAATGGAAAAGAGTTAGTTATTCTGAAATTATTATAGGATTAAAAAAATGAAACCGGGTTCATATTTCCGAAGGTTCATAATTCCGAAAATGTAATAGAACCCGGTCTCGTTTATGGTATTATACGAACCTTCCGAATATTGAACCTCATTTCATTTTCACAATTATGAACCTTGTGTAATTTTTTTTGGAATGACGAATCTTCTGAGTTTAATAAACCCTATTTCATTTTCAGAATAACAAACCCTCTGGTATGGAAATATGAACCTGCGGAAATATGAAGCTTTTGAAAAAAATTAACCGTAGAAAAATAAAGTTATCTCCCTTTTTCTTGTCCGCGACCTTCATTGAAGCTCTCAAGCTGTTGTCAGTGCTTGAGTCTTAACAATTTTTCTTCTTTGAGATTACCCCTTCATCTTTTAAAAGTAAATACATCGTAACATTATATATAGACACTGGTGCCCAGGAAACTGAGGATAAAAAACTGCAAACATTCATTCGTAAGTTCTATGCTACTACAATTTTACTCAAACTAACTTTTGACAGGTAACACCGATCCTTGCACCCAACGAAACCCGTGCGTCAATGGTGGCTTTCGTCCTAGTGGACAAGGACAGTACGAGTGTGAATGCCAAGATCATTATGAGGGGATCCATTGTGATGAACCGACTCGTAAGTCATATGTTTGAATTTACTTGTATGCTACGTTTTGCAAATCCATGATTCACATCGTTTCGAAAGACGGGTGAATAGGAACCAAAATTTGGAAAGTGTTTTGACTCAATGTTTTACCCTCAGAAGGGAAAATGAAACCTTTTCATTTCAGCATAAGTAAATCAAATGTCTTTTCATCTTCTCTGGATATGAAATAAAATGTCAAAACATTTTCCTTTTCTGGGGAAAGTTAATGAATATCAAAGTTTGTTAAGTAAACCATTACCTGCTTAATTTATAAAATAAATCCAAGATGTCCAGTCATTCATAACATTTTAAAGATGGTCTTATGCATCCGTCACCGGACTTAGGATCACCAAGGATCTTATACTACCTCCTTGGAATCACATGGTTTGCGATTCAGGACAGCACCACTGTCTTTTGACAAGACATTGATGTACATTCGTTACTATCTACACAGGTGTAGAAAATAGATACATGTTAGGAATGTATTCCTTGAATGCTTTTAGGGTCTTAGGGCAGCCAGGTCTTAGGGTCTAGGCTAGCCAGTGTAGGAATCATGATAATATTGTGTAGGTGCCTTGAACATCCCCTTGGTATTTACGTATATATAATTGTAACTGTTATCATTATTATTTTTATGAATAGTAGTAGTAGTAGGGTATTAGTGTTAGTTCATTTTGTATTTCTATTAGTCGTAGTAGTAGTAGTTTTGTTATCATAATTTGTGTGTATTGTTTGGTTAATGTTATTTTGTATGCCTCTTCTTCTTCCTCTTCTTCTTCTTCTTATAATTATCATTATTATTACTATTATTACACTTATTATGTTGTCATCATCATCATTATCAATATCATCATCATTATTGAAAACAAAATCACCTCATTCATCGTCATATAATGTTCTAATTCCTACCTCGAATACAGTTCCTATTGAGGTTTCTGTCAATCCGTCAAGCCAGATAGTCAACATCAACGCCAATGTGGAGCTGACATGTAGTTTCAACAATGCCAAGCGATTCCACTGGTACAAAGACGATGTCCTTTTGCCTAACGATCAGAATCAGAATCCTTTGATAATCATGTCTGTCACGCCAAGTGACATCGGGTATTACTTCTGCCGAGGCTCTGGGAGAAATGGAGAAACTTTAGACACGATGCGAGCATCTGTTTATGTCAAAGGTAAAAACTTTACTTGAAACAAACTTTAAAAGAAAAATAACAAAATTTAGGGTTGTGTCTAGCCTTTAATCAAGGCGACCTGTGTACTCTAGAAAGATCTCATCTCTGCCATTTAAAGACGTGGAATAACCTTGTGATTGCGAGAAGTTTTATGAAGGAAGCATGGAGGTAGCAGGCATACGTTATTAAAGACTTACGGATCCTCAGTATTACAGGCCTGTAAAATTATACAGAAAAGTAAATTATTAATTAAAGTTCATTTACATTGACTTTATATCAAATAAACGTTATAAGCAATTGTTTTCATCAAACTTCTATTGGAAATATATATATATATATATATATATATACAGAAAAGAATATTCTTCCATTCAATTAAGTTTTGAAGATTTTAATGTTATTTGTAATGCTACGCGTAAAAATAAGAGATATTACAAAAATATGTATTTCGATCACAAATAAAGACAAACAAGCGCGTAAAAAAACACGAACGTGATTATACTGAATACAACAGTGGCGGATCCAGGGGGGCCGGGGGCCCGTCCCCCCCCCCCCCTTGAGAAAAAAATCATGGAAAATCGCGCGATTTTTACCTTTTTTTGGGGGGGTGCAAATTTTAAAATTTTCGAGGACCCCCCCCCCCCCCAAAAAAAAAAAAATGTGCTCACTACCCCCCCCCCCCCCCCCCCCCCACTGAGCGACTTTTCGGCTGGCTCAGTCGTTGCGATTTTTTTTTTTGGACTCCAAAAAAAAAAAAAGTGTCCGCTTACCCCCCCCCCCCCCCCCCCCCCCCCCCCCCCCCCCCCGACTTTTCGGCCGGCGCGATTTTCAAATTTTCGGGAGCAAAACAAAAAAAAGTTGGGCCCCCTCCCCTAAGACATCCTGGATCCGCGCCTGGAATACATTATGTGTAAAGTATAAGAGAAATGTTATCATGCAAGTACTGATTTGATATGAAATTAGTATACGAAGACATTTTCTGAAAGCTATGTTTAAGTTACTTGTATTTGTTTGCTATCAGTCCTTTCGGAGGAAAATTTATTGGTCTTCGGTCCGGGGGGGGCGTTCCCCTGTGCCCTTCCCTAAATCTGTGCCACTGATTCTCGATGTGTATGTTTGTATTTTCAGATCTGACCAACATAATAGTTTTGAACGCTAGATTTGCCATTCCATTCAGCGATGAGCTTCATGACCAAACGTCTAATCTCTATAAAGAGACGGCGCTCAACATCAGCACCTATGTAAGTATTCTAAAAAATTGGTATATCAGAAAGGCCTTTTACAAGGCAAGGCCTAATATTGTTTTTGGTTAAAATATACAATTAAATTATAGAGTGCGAGGACGTTGTGCAACAAGTTTCATTGCAGGGGTTTGGTAAAGACTGATTGCACGTACATATAACATAAACATTTTCAGCTCTTCTATTGGTGGAGACAAGACTAAAGGATCCGGAAGGCCTTCTTCCTCCGTTTACCTGCAAACTTGGACTCTCTTGTGACAAATAAATCAGCAACCATGAATGTTATCGGTTATTGTGATCAAACTTGGGAGACCTTCACATGTTGGTGTTGTCGAGGGTCATTATTCAAAGGTCGAAGCTAACTTTGTGAGCTCTCTTATGACAAATAACTTTGCAACTGATTATGACCATACTTGCTTCACATAATTTTTTATTAAGCTGTAAGTTTAAACTCACAAGATTCATGTATGACTAGTCGTTTAAATACATTATATTTTATGTGCGACTAGACTTGAGTCAGAGATGCTCTTTAAAGGTAAGAGAAAGTCTTGGTATGGGTTCATGAATTTGGTTCAAATGAACATATTGGAAGGATATGCGACTTTACAATATTCAATGATCGCTGGCGCGGTTAAAATCGGGTCTAAAGTGATGAATTTGCTAATAAATGAACTCTTTAAGTTGTAAAGCTCCCTCTCAAGAATGATATTACTTTAGCTTTAATACCAATGTTTCTTGACTACAATCGACCGATCTGCTATTCCCATTTGGAAATTATATATCAGAACTGCATATTTTGAGATTTCCATGGTCGCAGCTACCATGGAATGGCATTGGGCGGTATTTTTTTATTATTCAATTTCTCGAAAGCAGGAGTGTTTTAGGGGCTAAATTTTCTAGTGCTTATAATACATCCACAGGGGCATCCAAATATATCGAAATTTTAAAGAATTACTCTCCATCCAACTTTTATAATTTTCCAAAACTTTGCATTATCTTTAACGACATTCATGTATACTATTATAAAAATAGTATGGACACAATATCGCATGCGGATGTTTTTCGGTTATGATGTATACTAGGAGTTACAAAAGAGTATCAGTCTTTGATGGAAGGGGAAATATCTATTAAACGTTTTTATAATTTGTTTGTTGTTTTCTACCTGTGTTGAGGTGGAGCAAGGCCTCCGAACCTTCACTGGGTTGAAGAGTCTATCAGTAGTATGCAGAGCCCTAAGACCAGGAAGCGTCAAAGCTGACATGAATATCTACATCGAGCGGACCAATATGACGGCACCGGAGACACAAGATCTTATTGGTCTAGCTCTTGATAGTCTATCCAATGAATCGAGAGGATTTCTCGATTCAAACACCATCTCAGTTCAAGATAACGGTACCAATTTCATTCACTAACATGTAGTTCTGAAAGCCAATTAATATATTAAGTAGGATTGTGTATAAGGATCGACGTGGGGGTATCCATAGATTAATGGCAGGTAGGTGACGCGAAAAACCAGGGGTCATATTTTGTCCTGTCTTTGTGATACTACTCATTGCAAGCATTTTTGTTAAACATTGGCCTCCGAAGGGGAGGGGGTTCGGCTCTGTCAGATATTTCACTGAACTGGACGTGTGGCATTGGTACATTAGGTAATTTAAAACGCTAGAAGTGCACACACAAACACACGCACACACGTCTTACGTATTTACACAATTCACAAACACACGCACACGCACACACATGATATATATACACACATGACATTGTGTAGGCCTCTGTGTTTGTGTGTTTGTCATGTGCGTGTGTGTGTGTGTGTTCCTTTGTGTGCGGGTGTAGTCTGTTTATGTGGCCTTTTCGTCCTTCATTAAATGAAGTACTTTTTAATTTTCATTCTTGTTTATAGTGATAAAAGTTCTCTGCATTGTACGGAAGCTTCAACGTGCAAAGAGCATGCGACTTGTTTATTAAACTCGCCTATGCGCTTTGGCAGGGCCTAGAAGGCGAGAAAGCGAGTTGTTAAAGTCGCCCCAATCATGTTTAAGACGAAAATGCTAGAAGACCACTAGATAAAAACTCCCCAAGGCGCTTTATTAAGACCAAGAAGACAAAAAGACGAGTTGCTAAACATAGCTGAGGTGCCTTGTTTAAGACCTTCTCGGCTTAAACAAGGCGCCTTTAATTAGTGAGTTGTTAATACACACCTTCTCGCTTTCTCTTCTTAAACATATGGCGCCTTGACGAATTTTGACAATTCGCCTTCTCACCTATCCGTATTAATTATGGCGCATTGGCCAGTTAAACAAGTCGCCTTTTTGCTGAATGTTTAACTTCCCTAGCATTGGCCACTTCTTAGAAAAAAGAATACCTGCACGATTTGCAGCAATTCACTTTGAATTTAATAGATAAACAAACATGAAATTTGTTAGGGACTTTTTTCAATATTTTTTGTTCACTCTTTTTTTTTTTGTAGCTATTTGCCAGAATATCTCATGGATATCTCCTCGATTTGAAAAAGTCGAATTTCCGGAAGGTGAAAACGGAACATGGGCAAATTCAACAGGAATGTGTCCATTCAACACTACTCAAGGTTTGTTTTGACGGTCTTTCATGTATTTTTAATGTGGGGGAGTGTACGATCAATATGATAATTTCCCTATAGGCTTGTTTAAATATGGCGCGGTCATCTGCTGCAAGAAAACACTTCATTTTTTGTGTGTAACGTGTTAAAGAATGGCAACTGCGCGATAGAGAATGGCTCATCAACTCGCAATGTCATTCCCAAAATAGCCTTCATATCAAGATGTTCAACCGATTGTAGTTTTTGTTTACTTCATAATCGAACACTAGCGAATCAAGATAGGGGCTTAGGGTCTAAAAGCCCCTCCCCATAGATATTCAAGCCCCAAAACTGTGTTCATGAATGCAAATGAATTAAAGCGAGGGTCACATAAAAAATGAATGCAGGAACCACAAGCCCCCAGCCCTCGGACCAAAATATAAATCCGCGCGTGTAGTTGAATGTTTTGAATAGTTCCAGAGTTATGAATTACTTGAGGAAATTTCAATCATATAGACGGTACTTCTTTACTTCATTTATGTCCCCTTCTCTTTCGTATCTGATAATAATTGTTTGCCAGTGTTCTTTCGATATTTATAAAAATATATGTGTATTTTGTTTTATAACGAACAGTCAATGAACCGATTGGACGGGCTCTGTGTAGCGGCGATGGTATTACCCAGAGCCATTGGCAACCTGTGGATAATTGCGGACCATTTAGAAATGTCACAGATATTCTCAACGAAATTGCACAGGTTTTTTTAAAAGAGGCTTTTTTAATTACCTTCATTTGCAATGCGATTGTGTTTAGTATATTGTAGATACCACTGATCATTAGAACTTGAAAAGATGTGATAAATATATTTATTCAAAATATTATAAGTATAAGATGACCTATTATTGCGTAGATTTCACCAGATTTGGTACGTTATTTTTACCCAGTACAATTTTACACAATAAACATTCATGTTTCTTTCTTACTCACCTTTTTCTTTGACAGTGAATCCTTACTGTAACTTTGAATTCTATATAAAAACATGCCTAACAGGTAATAAATAGCCCATGGTCAATCATTCTACTGATTGATTTAATGTCATCTCATTCACTAATGCACTGGACGATTTTTATTCAAGGCGGTAACATATTCTCAGTCATATTCATTGACAATACTTAAATTGGAGCACTTGCAACCGGCCTATATATCTCCATTCGTTAGCTCTTGATACGGCATTTAAAACCATGTAATAGTTTAAAATAGTAGAACTTTACCAAATTATTGTATTTAAAAGATGTTGGTCTGATCATGGAACTACTACGTAGTAGGTCCAAGGTCTGATTAAAATCAGCTGACAACCGTAGTCGATTATAACCGGTTCATTAGTTGTGAAATTTAATATTATGGGACACAATTTGTCATCTTTATGATGATGATGATATATGGAAAAAGGAACCTACTTATGTGTCATTGCGATATTGTAAGGGAAACATGTTCGCTAATATTAGAATTTATCTGTTGGAGTGCTTAAATATATAACTTATTTTCCAACCAGTTTTACACTGTAACATTGCAAAATAGGAAGGTTTTGAACATTTTGCAAAAAATAAATTAATAACAAAAACAAAGCGAAATTTTGAAAAAGTATTATTGTCATGTTGTTCATTATACATGTACTAAATTCAATAAGTGTCCACATTTTCCTCTCCATAAATATGGCCAACTATAACCGAGATCTTAGGGGGTCATAATGCAGTGGCGGAACCAGGGTGGGGGCTTGGGTGCACGGGCACCCGCCCCTAGCACACAAAAAAGTAAAAATCAAAGATGGTAACAACAATTTTAACTTTTTTTCTCAGGGGGTGGGGGTGTTGAGTAAAAACAAAATAGTGCTTATTAACCTCCCCCTCCCCCCTCAGCGCCGCTAAATATTTTCTCACGAATTGCCCCCCCCCCCCCCCCCCTCGCCGTGGGCTTGATCTGCCCCTGTCAAAGTGCCCCCCCCCCCCCCCTCCGTATTAATACCCTCGAAATACCCTGGCCTCATCAAGGTTAAGGAGAGAAAGTCGTATCACTCACATGCTGTAATGGTTTTCCCCTCAAATTTTAGGTAATCGTAGGAGAAGAAAATGCAGGTGAAGTGAGCCAGCAAGTATCATCTGTTACTTCCAATATCGAAGATATCACATCAGATGACATCACGTTTGTGGCAGAGATAACATCAAACATTGTGCAGCAAAATCTTACAAGTGAAGAGGTATTTTGCACGATGCCAGGCCAATCCTATTGAACATGAATTTGTGATTGTTGATGCATTTAATTATGTTCTGATTATTATCTAATGGTACGCAAATTGGAGCTTTCCCTCCGATACATGTACTAAAACATTGTCATAGATGTGAAAAAAGGTAAATCCCATGACCGGTGAATTGGACGCCTTAAAGCTGCACTACTGTGAATGAAAAATACACTAGAGCCTTACGCCGTATCAGGCTCTTTTTCTGTTAATTGTGTATAATATCTTACTGGTTCTATGACAGATTTAGGTCTCCCACTGTCCTTATATTTTTTGACCCCTTGGCAGTTGCTTCATCAAGTACAACTTTAGAAAAACAGCTGTTCTAAGGCTGTCACATTATTTAAAGGTATAAACCAGTTTTGGAAACGCCCCCTCTCAACAAAATATGAAATGGAAGCTCTTATTACCAATCATGTGAAAGAATATGTTTTGACTAATACGTGATGATACCAATTTTACCGGGAAACCACCTACTAATTGATATATTTGGTAAATTATATATCCGGCCTGGATAGATATCGCGTAGTCCCATATACAGCTTTCTGTGTACAGTGCTTGTAACTTTACCAAGACTGGGCCAAATTATTTTCTTATCATTTTGATTATTCCAGAACCTTGCAGTACACACCAATACTTATATGCTAGGTGATCAACCTTTTCTGGTCGATTCCACAACGTTTCTTTAACAATGCAATCGCATGACCAGAACTGGTCTATATACCTTCAAAACCCAATCGTCATTCAGTTTGATTTCCGAGATTTGGCAACTATAGTTTAAATGATCTTCATCCTTTGTGTTTGAATTGACAGATTACAAAGTATATAACGAGTATTGTGAGCAATATAGCTCAGGTAGAAACAGAGGAACTTAAAGCCGCAGAGGAAGAAGGTGGGGCAATAAGTAAATTTGTCCAGGCTTTTGAGGAACAAATCAGTCGTGTTGAAGTTGCCGATGGTACGATGCTCAACATTCAGCAGCCAAATGTAGCCGTACAGGTGATTTTACATATATATCATCAAAATTATTTGATATCCACCAGTAAACTAGAATATAGAAGTTCACTTTCAAGTTATATAATTGTTTGCATGCATATTCATCCAATGTGGTCCCATTCAATCTGGTGTCGAACAAGGCGCGACACTTTCACCGTTTTCCTTTATGCAGTTATGTAGATCTGCCAAACAACATAATTGTTTGTGCATTTATGTGTGCAGGATTTTTCATATTTTAAATTTGGGGGATGCCTTGCTTGAACTTATGTGCATGGTGCTTATCGCTTCATTTTTAATCATTATCAACGATAATGATCATAATAATAATAATAATGATGAAAATAATGATAATGATGACAATAATGATAAAAATTAATCTAATGGAAAAATGTTATAATAATATTAATAGAAACAATAATATAAAAGATTATTGATGATAGTGATGGCAATAATACAAATGATATTCATGATTAAATGATGATGATGATGATGATGATAATGACGATGATAATATTATTCGATTTGTAAGGCGCCAAAGCCACTTGAAATCAAATACTAAAGGTGCACTTTTGCGAAGGAGAAATCACATAAAAGCATTTGGATTTCATACAAGCTACAGAAAAATGAAATAAAATGTTCAGATAATAATGATAATAATAATAATAACGATGAAAAAATAGTAATATTGATATAATTGAAGATACAAAAACTAAAATGAATACAATAATAATTATAATTATAATGATAGTAATATGAGAAATAATGATGATGGTGATAATGATAATGACAACAATAATAATAATACTAGTAATAATAACTGAAGTCCTAATTCACATAACAGGTCCAGAGTGTACATGCTGATGACGTAATGCGTGGTCTTGTGCTTTCGCTAGCTGGGTCCAGTCTTTCAGACCTGACCGAGGCCAATATTACCATCAATGCTCCGACCCACGATGACCGCGATGACGTCATTGCTACAAGACCAGGCATCATCGCTCAGGTCAACATTCCACCTTCAGTTTCATCCGTCATTTCGTCCACGGCCCCACTCTCAGGATCGCCGTCGAATGGCAGTGGTAGATATGTCCGGATCAACTTCAATGTATTTTCAACTCCAGCCCTGTTCATTTCTAAATCATTGCGCACATTCAGTGCAGATAATGAAGGCTTCAATCGATCGGCTAACTCTCCCGTGATTTCTCTCAGTATTGGTCAAGGGAAAGTAGCAGCCTTGACCGAATTCATCAACTTTACCTTCACTACAATAATGGTAAGACCTATTACAAGTATACGTATTATTTTGTAATCTGCCTTTAGCAGTATTTATAGATAATTTAATTTGTAGACATACATTATATAGTGAACAATTTAAACATAATTATTTCAATCTATTTTTTTTTTTTTTACTCCTGTGTTTGATTCCCCTCATGATGAATGGGTTTTTAACTAAACCAATCAAAAGGATCATTCATTCTTCCTTCATGCCTTATTTAACAAATTTGATTATGGGTCTATGCATTTCTTGCTGTTTTTTGTTTTTGTTGTTTAGTCTGGATATGTGAATCCCATCTGTTCATTCTGGGATGAGGAGCAGGAAGATTGGTCCCCAGATGGGTGTGTTCTTGTTTCTGGAATCACATCATCCAATGAGAGCTCTAATGAGGAGAGTGTGCGCTGTGCATGTGATCATCTTACCAACTTCGCTATTATAATGGTCAGTGAAAAGCAGTTAGGCAATGCTCATATGCATTAACACCATTTAACTACTCCACGGATAACTATAACCCGACTAAATTAACGGAATACACTCTAAAAACTGAAATGTTAAATCACCATTTAAAAGGGCCGAGGAGTGACCACTCTTTCAAAATGGTAGATTAACACTTTGAACATGCTGGATCCAACACTATAAAGGTTTAATCTAGCAGGTTAAAAGAAACAATCTGACATTTTGAAAGAGTGTTCACTCCTCGGCCCTTTTAAATTGACATTTAACATTTCAGTTTTTAGAGTGTAGGTTACTAGAGCTATAGCGTGATAATCCTTTTGATAACCCAGGGGTATCCTACGGATTAAATAGTATGGTCTATGTAATATATATTATATCTTACGCCTGCGGTTATGTGAATGGATACAGCTACTTGCTTTTTTCATTCCTGACAGGTAAAAACATACTACCAGGTGTTTGTGGACGAGCGGCCATTATTCGACCTCTTCCCCTTTTACAATTTCCCTTATACTTCTGAAGAAAGATGGAGTATAGAGCTGATTTTCTATTGGGTATGAGTAATATTTTCACTCTTGAGATCAAATACAATTTGAAGGTATGGTGTTTCCAGCGGAAGGTAGTAAAGTGATATTCTTTTTTTTTTCCACCAGTAATACAAGGTTCCAACACTTTTTATTATAATAAACCCTTAATTTCTCAGTTTTCAATCAAAGACATGTAGACTTTATGAAAGCTGATGGTAAATAATCAGCTTTATTTGAGCATTTGAAGTAGATGTTTCAGTTTGGGCTCAAATTTCTTTCATGTTACAGGATATCCATAGACAGGAGGTTTCACCAATCGAGGCATACAACATTCTGACTTACATTGGATGCTGTATTTCTATCTTCAGTCTTCTTGTCACATTGGCAACCTACCTGTGGAACAAGTGAGCCCGTCGAGAGAAAAAAAATGCAATCATTAATGTAACACAAAGGAGACAGAATATGTAATTAGTCTCTGGTCGTTTTATCTTCGATTTTATTTCGAAGGTTTTGAACGTGGAATAGGTACATAAACTATGAAGGAGAATTATTTTTAGAATTCATTAAATAATCATGCAAATTCAAATAACCACCTTTCAAATAAAACTATCTCTTGATCAAATGAGATGGAATACGTATAAACCTGCAGCACAGTTCTGTTCGGTATCACTTCTGTTTGGACCAGCAAGGCTGTTGAGAACTACTGTCAACAATGTACATTTCATGATAGAAAGGGGAAGAGGAGAGGGAGGAGGAGGAGAAGAAGGAGAATTGGAAGAAGAAGAGAAACTGCCATAATACTATTAGTTGCTTGGTGATGTAGGGGTGGTGTGACGAGGGTCATAAATGGGTTATAATATTAATTTGTTCATATCATATCAATATATTCTCCATTGATATTCGATTAACTTCGTATATAAAATCCTCTGCCCGTGGTGTGCAGTTTGCACAGAATAAGAAGCATATTCATTTCGAACATCTTTGGCGTACTATTTTCCCCAGTTGACATCGTCCTGAATATTTACACCCAGATTAGTTTTTATTCAACACGCGTGGCCATTTGACGGTTGTGCCCAGTAATAAAAGATATACATGTATATAAGTAAAGCACAATCACATCATCTCCTTCATTTTACAAACATTTCCCCTCAATTTCACTTCGTTATTCTTGTTATTTGGCGTTGTTTTCTGTGCTGCCAATGAAGTGATGGTAAAGCTGTACATGTATGGTACAATATGCCTTCGATGCTTTCATAATTTTATTTTAATTTTGCAATCTTGATAGGGATTTGAGGACCACACAGACTAGCCAGATCTTCATCTGTCTGTGCCTGACCTTGCTATGTCTCTACACGACATTTGTCATCATGATCTCTCTGCAGTCTACCGCAGATGATCGTGAGGTCCAACCTGGACCCTGTGGGTTCCTGACGGCCCTAGTTCACTACTTCGTTTTGTCCTCCATTGCATGGATGGGTGTGGAAGGGTACAATACCTACCTCATTATTGTGAAGATCTTTAACACCTACATCCAGAATTTCATGATCAAAGCTTTTTTAGCTGCATGGGGTACGATATTTGTTTCCTTACATCTTTTTACTAGGAACAGTGCTTCCTATGAACAGGAAGTGGCTGCATGTTTTTACATACATATAAATGTCTCTAGATCAGAATACTTCAATCGACTTCGTTATACTTATACATTTAGGTACTGAAAGTATCCATAAAAAAATGAGTTTACTTCATTAATACAAAAAATTATGAATGGGCAAACAAATGTTATGCTTTTAATATTCATATAAAAAGGTAAATGTTAATTTTCTCTATTTTTTAACGAACAAAATAAATCGGAAGCTCCGGCAGGATATATTATACTCATTTAGCCATGCTAACTAATTGGAGAATAATTATGGAAAGATCACATTAGGACGAACTAACGTTCAACAGTGCACATGAATTCGTAATTTTTTCCATTCATGTGTAATTTTTTTCGGCATTCGGCATTAGGCATGGCATGTGATTTGTACAAAGAAGACTCTTAGCCCGGATAGTATAACAATCGAGATATCTCTTTCATTTAAAAAAAGTAATTATAGTGCCGCCATAACCGTGGTGAAAAGTGTGAGCTGGACAACACAACGATAACATGAGTAGGCCTATTGTAGAAACGGGGAAAGGAATAAGCTAGGCCCATGTCCAATGTAGACGTATTTTGAATGACTATAAAAATGGTATAACCTTATAAACGTTTGTCATTACAGGAATTCCTGCACTTATCGTGGTTCTTACTGGAGCTATTGCTAGAGACTCTTATGCTCATGATGATCTGTAAGTGGTTACGTTTAAAAGTTTAGCTTGAATATTGGATTGCATAGCGTAGGGTATACCTAATGATCTTCAAATTTAGGATTCGGCAAACTCACGTTTCTGTACTTAATCTAGTTTTTAGGCATTTGGTATGTTGGTATCTCATGAGTTAGCAAGTATGCCATTATGATCTCGAATTGGTATTTAAGTATCACTTTCGTGGGTATGTGGTGTGATCCAATCTCTAAAAAGGCCACCAAGTGAATACAGTCATCACACATAATTATACTAACATCTCAGATATTGCTGGTATAACGTATGGAACAAGGAAGCTTTGACTTCCCAAAATAAATAATGGGAAATCATTTACAATCACAACTTCTCAGTTAAAATGTTTCAAGGACCTCGGAAATTTTGTCTAACTATCGCTACGATAGTCAGCACTGATTGACTTTATTCAGTCTCTTTACAAAGTGCACATTTACTATCAATAGATGCTTTCTACAATTCGGGGCTCAAATCGGTGGGCTCCTGACTCCCATGTTTCTCATCCTCCTCATCAACATTGTCATCTTCACCCTGGTGGTTCGACAATTGCACCGGTCAGCCAACATCACTGGTCGGGTGAGAGGAGAGGCTAGGGCAGAAAGTCGAGAGACTATCGAACGCGTCCAGAACGCGATTTGCATCTTGCTCCTGCTCGGTCTGACCTGGATCACCGGATATCTTCTTTTAATCCCGTCATTGAGTCAGGTAAAGCCAACTGTGTAGTATCTATCTCTTCTAAGAAGTATCTTGAAAAGTCAGTTATAATAATAACATACACCAGCAATACCTATTTAGATGTTATGTATTTGAAGAACATGAGAGAGAATGCCATATACATATTATCATTTCTGAAACATTTGCGTTTAACAGGTGGTTCAGCCAATTTTTGTCGTCCTAAACTCCTTCCAAGGATTTTTCATCTTTCTACTCTACTGCGTCCGGAAGCCTCACATCCGTAAGAAATGGGGGCTAACTTGTTTCGACAAGTTCCTAAAGGAAGAAGCAAGCACTTCCAGCGGTGTGGTAAGCTCGACGGGGCTATCCTCATCATCTGGCATTATAAGCAAATTGCGCCCAGGAGCCTCGGGTAAATACGTGTTGCCTACCAAAGACGACAATTCCGATCCTATGTGTATGTTCAATCCGACCTATGATGTTAGCCAGGTTGAGGAAGGGGTCACACCACCTATGAACAAATATATCCAGAGTTCCAACGAGGAACAGAAGAAGGACACGGATCGTGATGCAACAGGCACTGATGTCGTGACGGTCAGTCTCCCTCTTGATGCATCTGTCACAAATGTCACTAAGACAGGTGATGGTGTTTCCTCCAACACGGATGCTGACACGGTCATTGTAACTCTGGATTCAACTGATGCCAGAAAAGCTACTGAGGGCAACGATGATGTTGCTTCCACCAACAATGAAGCCGTCGCCAGTCTCCCTAAGGATGCGGAGGATGGCACCAAACACAATGAGAGGGATGATGATGTTGCTTCTGCAACATTGATGTTTCTGTTAATCCTCCAATCGATTCAACGGATGTCAGCAAAGGAAATTAGAGCAGTGACTGTGGCATAGATGCAAGTGACACCTTCGATTTGCAAAGGCTAATGGCAAAAGTTTTGACTAATGCGATGTATTTTTTTATAATTGATTTTGTTTTAATGTGAAAGGCGTTTAATTCATTTATTTTCTAAGCAAGAACATAAGAGAACTTACAAGAACATGATGTTACATTGGCATACTAGGCAGAGGAGGGGTGGGTTGGGTGTCGGCTGAACCCTCCATCCCCCTTTCCCGAATAATTTTGCAATTACCTTGTATCATCTTTACTATATTTCAATGGCGAAATTATATCTAGTGTACAATTTATATGTACCTTATCGAAGTATTCGTGATCTCCGCCCCCCCCCCCCCCCCACTCAGTGTTATATAGTGTACGCGTATGCTCGTTCCCTCTTTTTGAAAACACCCCCTATCTGAGGACTGCCAACATTTCCGAACACCCCTTTCGCGGGCTTTTAGCGGGCTTTTCCTGCCTGGAGACCCCCCTAAATACGGAAAAATGCTCAATGAACCCCCTAAATTCGGAATAATTTCTCAGGAATCCAAAGAGATGAGAGAAAAAAAAGAAAAACCCCCTATTTAAAGAAATCTCCGGGTGAAAAGTCAAATACAGCCCTATTTTTACAATTCTCGGGCCGGACTTTGTCGCACGAAAAGTACCCCTTTACCAGACATTTTGGTAACACGCATGCGGTCATTCCGACCCCGGAGTGGGGGGGGGGGGTGGGTCGTGATCAGATCATTTTAAAACGATACTTTGTTGTGTATTACTCAGAGAAGAGGTCAATTCAATTTTTAAAGGTATTTTTTCAATCTTTTTTAATCATATTTTGTTATGACATGGTATATATATATATTATGAATAAATGATTCGAAAATAAATTAGACAATACAGGTTGCGTCGCTTAAATCCAAGTTCCCCATTGCTGTCCTCTCTTTTAAATTTGTTTGCAAAGGTTGAAAAAATTGTCTCCGCCGGGAATCCAAATGGGCCACTGGCTGAGAACGCCAATGCCTTAACAACTAGACCACACAAAGCCCCCATCCCCCTTTCTCGACCATTTTGCAATTACCAATATTCCGTCACCACATATTCGGGCAACCAGGTGATTTTTATTTGTTATCATTTTTATTACATTTCAATGACGAAATTGTATCTGTACAATTTATATGTACCTTATCGAAGTATTCATGATCAGAATATTTTTTTTAAAGATACTTTGTGGTGTATTACTCAGAAAAGAGGTTTTTCCATTTTTGAAAAAAAAGTATAATGATGATGATGATGGTATGATGACTTTTTTTTCTAGAAAGTGTTTGTCATGACATGATATGACTGCATATATATATATGTGTATATAATGTGAAAGGAAGTTAGACAGTGGGGGTTGTGTAGCTTAAGGCAAAGTTCCCCATTGCTGTCCTCTTTTTAGATTTATTTGCAAAGGTTGAACAAAAAAAATTGTCTCCGCCGGGAATCAAACCATGTCATTGGCAGAGGACGTCAACGCCTTAACTACTAGACCACATAGACGGGCCAGTGGATTCAGCGACACCAACAGATTTGGCAAATCTCGTAGTAAAATAAATGTACTCCTGCGGTGGTTTGATTTGATTTGATTTGATTTCTGCATTTTTCAAAATATAATATAACTGAACAACAAAGAACATAAAGGTATAATACAACATATAAAAACAATAATTTCTTCATATCAAATCTTTTTTTTTACATGATATATATATGTACATATAATAACGAAACTTAATATTTCCATATTATATTATTATAAATTTAAAGTATTATCCGAACTCTTCTGCTGGAAAAGTGCAGGAGACCACAATCATAAGCGATGCTTGACAAGGATGGCGGCTTAAAAAAAAGAAAAGGAACATCTTAAGGTAAAACTTAAAATGAAAAATGTTTAAACGATCTTTGTGTATGAGTTGGTATGTGTGTGTGTGTGTGTGTGAGCCTGTTAAAAGGGTAACTCTATTTTGCGGCCTGGATAACTTATTTTGTATATTTTTCTTCAGGTGAGTAAGTTAGCAGACATCCACTGAGTGAGTAGTGTGTGTGTGGGGGGGGGGTGGGGTGGGTGGGTGAGTATGTGTGTGGGTGGGTGAGTATGTTTGTGTGATGGAGGGGGGCAGGGAGGGGCAGGATTGTTCCAGATTTGTTTAAGTTTTTTGTTGTATATAAGTGAATAACATTTACAATTGACATATTATGTTTAGGTACTTATACGTTTACTTTGTTGCTAAGTTATATACTGCAAATAAGTTTGTGTTTAATTATGTTTATGTAAAAGCATCAATATTGAACACGTTTATTTTATTCAATTGTATGTTATGGTTTGTATTGCACATTTGGAGAAATAAAAAAAAATTGTTTAAAAAAAAAAAAAAGTGTGTAGAGAGACCGCTCTTACCTACCCCTACGGTAATTTTTTGACGGTAGTTGCTACAGTAAACAAACTCCTAACTTCTCATTTCGAACCAAAGCCTTACCCGGTTGTGCAAATGAATAAAAACACTTTGAGGGGCTGAGTCAGTATTTTCTTTACAGGTACTATGTCCAATTTGCACCCAACATCAAATTATGAAAATCAGACTAATACAAAATTAATTGCAATCGCTTTTAAGTCGATTCGTCAACCAACGGTCGTTATTTTCCCACTAAAAGACCTTTCGTTTTGAGGGAAGTTCTAAATTTGTATCATCTTTCAAATGCTATTGGAATTTAACCTTTTTACTTTTTGGCCTGCAAATAGAACTTAATACCTTTAAGCTCCAATGGCGCAGTACAAATTATCAATATGTTGAATGAGTGAGGATGTATTATCCCGCCCCCCCCCCCCCCCTCAATTTATTTCCGCATTCTCTAAACGCCATCAGTACATTTTATGTATTATGATAATAATGAATTTAGTAACAATACTACTAATAATACTGCTTTACTAATAGTAATAGCAGTAATATTATTTAAAAGGGTCATCTAATTGGTAGGTTGCTGGTTTACAAATTTCTTTTTACACAATGATTAGAAGAAGAAACACACAAAAAATCGCTAACAGCGTTCTGCATCAGACTAAGTTCATCGTAGATGGCGTTTAGACAGCTTCGAGAGAACAGGGTTAAATACGTTTGAGAGAGTGTTGGCCCCCGTCCCTGATCATAGTGTTGCCTTTGTTGATTCTATGTTTATAGACTACCGTAAGGGTTCTCAAACTTTTACTTTGTAAGGTCTGAAACATGGGATGCCATTCGCCTGCAAATTCTTAAGGTCGATCGTATAGCCGTAAAGCCGAGTACGACTCCCGCCCCCCCCCCCCACTCCGGGGTCGGAATGACCCCATGCGTGTTACCAAAATGTCCGGTAAAGGGGTACTTTTCGTGCGACAAAGTCCGGCCCGAGAATTGTAAAAAAAGGGGTGTATTAACTTTTCACCCGGAGATTTTTTTTTTCTCTCATCTCCTTGGACTCCTGAGAAATTATTCCGAATTTAGGGAGGTACATTGAGCATTTTTCCTGATTTAGGGGGGTCTCCAAGGCAGGAAAAGCCCGCAAAAAGCCCGCGAAAGGGGGGTTCGGAAATGTTGGCAGTCCTCAGATAGGGGGTGCTTTCAAAAAAGGGAACGAGCATATGCGTACCCTAAATAACACTGAGTGGGGGGCCGGGGTACGACTCAAGCATTACTACATTTTGTGTCAAACTTAGAAGATCTACTCCTAAATTTTACAGTAATGACACTTGCATTTTAAAGATGATGAGGCTTGTTTTTGGTCTATATCTGATCCAAGTAGAGTGTTGTAAAAACAGAACCGCCAGTGCCTCCACTCGTTTGAATCGAGTTTCCTGTAAAAGAACAACCAGTTTCCTGAAATTTGAAGGAATTTTCTTCAAACTTTCTGGGTAGTCTAGAGAGTAAACGAGTTTCCTTGCATAATTTTAATAATAGGACACTGCTAACGTTTTCATTTCACAGATAGGACATACATGAAATATTCATAACTCCTGCACAGTTCTACAGAATTTGATGTTGGCTGCATAAGGAACATAGTATCTTTAAGTGGACTTTTTATTTGGATGAATTGCTATGATGTTTGAATATATTATATAGGCCTATAGATATACAGTATATGAATTATTTAGTGGGCTTATTTTGCTTTCTAATGGATCCGTACAATATGGCAGAGCTTGAGGGGTCTGGCAGAGCCCCTGCCGGGGGTTCCGAGGCGGAGCCCCAAAATGATTTATTTGACTTTCAATAGAGAAATGGTCTTTAAGAGAGAAAAAAAATATATTCTTAATAGTCAAATAGCCCTTCAATTTCATTTTAGAAATAAACTCTAATCCATCCCTTGATATCTAGATTGCACTGCTCTCCTGTGTGCCTTTTCAACACCCCCCCCCCCCGATCTAAGGGTGCTCACTTTATTTGACCTTCAACAGAAACAAAATTCTCGGCAACGAACTTTTCGAAGCGTAACCAGATTTAAAGTCTGCTTAAATGGGGGCATTTATGTATGTAGAAAAACAAGATTAAGATCCCATGCAACGCTTCGAAATGTTATAGAAGAATAAGAAGAAAAAAGTTGAGATTCCACCTTTATGTCTAGACGTTGCTTAATGCGTTTTGTATTGGAATTATCTTCCATCTCAGTGGTTATAGACGTTATTTATATGGATAATTCAGATTAAGCTGACCGGGTCTTGGAAGATAATGCTTCAAAACAAATCGACCGAGCTGTTTACTTCTCTATTCAGGGTCTGTTTCTACTGTTTATTCTATTTTCATTGCCAACCGTCGACCACGAATTTATCATGCATTTCACGGAGAAAAGTTTGCATTGGAGAACTTCAATCGAATTTCGCTAAACAGTTTTCTGTTCACTAAATCAGCGACCCTCATTTCGTATTATGAATAGCGATCCTCTTCTTCTATTATGAATAGCGACCCTCTTCTCCTATAATGAATAGCGACCCTCACTATTTTTTATTATGAATAGCGACCCTCAGTTCGTATTATGAATAGCGACCCTCTTTATCGATTTTGAATGATAACTCTCATTAATAGCGACTCTCATTCTGCATTATGAATAACGACCCTTATTTCGTATTATGAATAGCGACCCTCTTCTTGTATTATGAAAAGCGACCCTCTTCCCGTGTTATGACTAGCGACCCTTTTCTAATATTATGAATAGGGACCTTATGAACAACGACCCCGATTTCGCATTATGAATAGCGACCCTCTTCTCATATTATGAATACCGACCCTTTTCTTTGATTATGAATAGCGGTCCTTAGGAATAATGACCCTTTTCTCAAATTATGAAACGCGGACCTTATAAATAGCGGTCCTTATGAATAGCGACATTGACCCTCTACTATAATACACTAAATGAGGCATCAAAATTATCTAGACCTCCTTTTAAGCTCGCACATCAGGTGATTAATGTTTTGCCCAATACAGTTCTGGTAATTTTATATTTTTCAGGACAAACTGCACGAAGCCCCCTCCCCCGTACGCACGTACACCAGTACGCACACTACCACATATATCCCCCACACTCCCGTACACTCCTCCACACACACACACACATGTACGCACACAGGTCTTTCGTTGTTTTATAGTGACATTTTAAACCCTCTTCAATATTATTGTATAATATGTACAATTCCTGGTTTATTATTCTCGGCATTATTTTTATTATAACAATTTCACAACACCCTCGTGCCGTTTGTACGCCTTTTGTCGCTGTTTTTGAAGCATTTTGGGGTTCTCGGTTTTCATAAGTTTTCATTTCGCTGTTCATACTATTGGAGATCCCGTACCACATTTCTTGGCACATCGAGGTGAACCACGGCGCGTTTACAGCGAAATGTCATCTCAAGATGGCCCTTAAGCAATTCGGTGTGAGCTCTCACAACGTATGGACAGTGAAACAAAGACACCACCGTTACTTACAACCCGCTCATCTATCATACATGTGTGCGTATGTGTGTGTATATAATATATATATATATATATATATATATATATATATATATATATATATATATATTTTGTTTTCCTGAGGAAGTTAAATCCTACCCCATTAAGATGTAACCAAGATCATACATTTTGGGTAGGACATTTTAATTCTAGTGGTATTTGTGTGAGACATTGCAGTTTGCAAAATTTGCTTTTCGGCACCCCTATTCACGGTTAAAGCAGGGAGAAATATACGCGTGACGGTTTTCCATTCAATCAGCTGTGTTGAACGCATCAATAGGTGACGCACAAGTCTATTGTATAAGTCTTTGCTATCATGTAATTATAAATAGAGTAAAGATAAATAATAATGATAATAAACAAATAATGACATAGAATCAGAATATAAAAAAGACACTTGTATCAACTCATTGCCTTTGAGTTTTTCAGCCATTACGCATGTGAGGACAACAGAGAATAATAAACCAAATAATTGTTCTTCTTGCAATTAATAGATCATGTTTTAATGAAAGAATTCGTAAACACAGGGTAGAAGAGTTTGCTCAGTTCAAGCATGTACGTTCGTGATGAACCTCTACAAATACAAATTAAAGAATGATATCATCTATATAGCAAAAATATCACCACGATAAAACCGTGTTTATACAACTGTATTTTAGATGAAGGTTTTAAAAAAACAGAAAGAAATGGCGAGAGGAGAGAGAGAGAGAGAGAGAGAGGGAGAGAAAGAAAGAACGGGGGAGCTTTAGGGGAGCTTGTTAGCATTTTTTGAGACATGTGCTCCCCACCTTAGAAGGATTGAGAATACTGAGTAATATTTTTCTTTCTCACTCTCTATCTCTCTCTTAATAAAGGCTCGTTCAAATAAGATACGGTAAAAAACAGCAAAAGTATAAAAAAAAAAAAAATTGCTGCGCGTTTTTACTGAGCTAGGTGTTAGGGGGTACAGAAAAGTGACGCTTATTATTTATTTTACGTCATCATAAAGACCACCCGGTTTTGCCGCGTCATTTCTGAACGAGGCCTAATGAGGATGATATCTCTTCAAAGAAATTAAGTTTTGGGTTAAAGCAGTTAGCACAGTGGTAAGAAACCTAGGGTTAGTAGAATTTAGAAAATCCATTATTTTGGGCGTATAGACTTGGGGACGGCCCTGGAATACCATTTCTCTCAAAATGTGTCAAATCTTTATACGCAGTGGTATCCCTCTCATTGGCATCGGGTGCGGGACATGGTAATTCGAAATTTGCGTAAAATGGTAATTCGCGAGAATGTTCGCGGATTTGAAGGAAAAAAAGGGATTTTCGTTTAAGAGCATAACATTTGATAAAAAGGGGGTAATGTCTGGTCGCAATCATGTGAATGCGTCTTTTATGACTGTGTACTCGATAAGTTTAACATCATTATTTTATCGAGAGCCTAATATTTGTATCACCTATTTGTTCAAAAGGGATCATGTTTTGCTATATTGTTGAGGAAAATCTTTTTGAAAGTATGTAAACATAAGGGGAAATTTTCAAATTGACTGTAACGATCACTCGTCACACCTTTCAATATGAAGTGACACCTAGTCTCTGCTCGTCCAAACCCAACCGTGAATGAATAAACGGCCGAGCGAACGTGCAGAAAAAACCCTCTATATTGTATCTTAGCTCCCAGTCCGCCCCAAGTTCAGTGTATCCGCTGCCTTATATCATCTATTTGTCCTCGAGATAGACCAGGAGATCTTCTAGAGCCTGGATGACATCTTTCTTCTTCAAGTCAGAATCCATTTTGTCATTGGATCGTTCTTCGAATTCAGCAGCCACCTGTTTGTAAGAAAATAAAACACGCTGATAAGGATGGTAATGATGACGATGAAACAGATGATGACACTCTGCCAGCGTGAGAAAAGCACACTAAAAGGTCACGTTTCAACATCTTTTTCAGGGTCTGTGGCACCGTGCAAGCTCAATCAGCGAACTCACAAGCAGTCGAGTATAACACATAACCATATTATGTACCATATGTATGAAGTACTTACATGACTAGTAAAATGGGACAAATTTATTAACAAAACGACGCGGTCAAATTCAAAATGCTGCAATCAATTATTCACACATATATTATTTTTTCTATTTATCATCTTCTCTTCTCTGACCCGATACAGGACACCCTGATAATACTTGTGATTCCGCATTGGACAAGGTGGAATCAGTGTAAATATGTAAACACCAACGAGAAGTTGGCGTTTAGGATCTATGTAGCTGTACTGTTACTGGAACTGAAGGACAGGACAGAATTAATGGTCCAGGGGGTGTTTCACAAAGATCCTAAGTAGAACTTAACACTAAGTGGGACATAAAAATTATGGACAGCCATTGGAGCCTTAAAATGAAATATATTCAAAAGTAGAAATTCAAGTATTTTAGACTTTTTATAAATTCCACATCCAGAACATGAAATCTCCTTGATGATAGAAAATATGAATGATTTGAATCAACATTTTATGCCTTTTAAAATAACTTTTACAAAATATTTTCAAAGATGCTAATGGTTTTCCATAATTTTTAAGTCCAATTTAGAGATAAGTTCAACTTAGGATCTTTGTGAAACACCCCCCTGGTCTATCGAGGTGCATAGACTAACGATCAGACACTTTAGTCGTTGTCAGGATACTCAAGAAGCAAAAGCAACCCACATTAAAGACATAGCTAAGGATTTACATTTATCATTGAATCGTATTAATCTTGGTTTTAAGATTCATGTCCAATAATACCCTACTCATAATATTTCTGCCATGGGTGACTATAGCGTCTTTGTTGTCCAAATCGCCTTGTACAATTAGTCTGGGCTGATGGAACGAATGTGGGTCAGGCCGTATGCATAATTATTCTTTGTTCTTAAATCCTCTTAAAAGTTACATTATGCCTCGTGCTGTCAATAGTGCTTCATTGTTCAACATGTGGCAATTAACTTAGGCTGTCACAGAGCCTTGTTTCGATCCAAAGGATAAACTTAAATGATTTAGGAAAGCTTACTAACTTCCTGTCTCATGATATTTAAGTTCTCTCTGCTCATTTTCCGTTGTGGCAGTTCACACGCATAAGGAGCATAACGTTTTGGTCTCGAATAGCGAATGAAAAGTCAAAGGTTACTATTCTATTCAACCCAATTGTAAGAAAGAACACATATGACGATAAGTATCAACAAAACTGTCAGTAAACTTTCATTAAAAAGATAACATACTAAATCAACTTTATCTATTATGTTTTCACCCAATTAAAAGGGTTACCTTAAACAAGGGTTGCGAACGAAGTCAAGATTGTTATTATCAAAGTGAAGTAATTATCATGAATTTAGCTTGTAATTGGCATTTGCTTTAGTTTAAGGTGGTCTAAACACCTTTTCCTTTCCACTGCATTAAAGCATTGACATATGCTTATAGTCAGTGAATGTCGATGCAAATAAGCGAGCAATTGTTTTGGAATGAGATAACACAATCATAATAGCTTTTGACCCACATTAATTGCTTCAGCCCAAATTTGGTCCTAGAGGATTTTGACAATAATTTTTAAAAGTCTGCTGCTCAGTTATCCGTGGCAGCATAGCGTATCATTAGACAGGGTATTTGTAACCCCTTACCATTAAATACGATTGAATGTCACATAGGTTACAACTTTTGAATTAGAAGCTACTAAAATTGATCACACCTTTTTGATACGTACTGTATATATATATATATATATATATATATACATACACACACAAACATGGTGCATTTACTGCATGCAGTTGAAAGCAACACATCATTTTTCACATCCATTCATATCTGTCTTTGAAGATGATCCTTACCTTTTCTTCTTCTGTCATGTCTCCTTTTTCATAGAACTCCAAATCCTCCATTTTTCTTTTTGCATCTGTTAAATATTTACAGAAAAAGGGAGATTAAAAAACATTTTCAATTCATTCCTGTTGCGTTATTTATACTTAAAACAAGATTCTATTCTTTCATCGAATATGCATAACGCCTGCGTCTGAATGAGAACTACTTTCCGTCAATAGTGATCAGATGGTATTTTTTGTTTAACCTTTTAGTCTTTTTTTGTATTCGTCAATACCTTCTACTAACATACCCTTTAGCAATCATTGTACTAATACATATTTCTATTAAATGTCTAGCCAGGCAATCTCAGCTTTGATGACGATAAAAAATAATTCTAGAATTTAATTTTTATGAATCACATTATCGCAAGGTTAATGAAAAAAAATGACAAACAAAACAATATGTAAAAACAAAACAATATGTAAAAAACAACAACATATTATTGAAAAGTTGCAAAAACTGACAAATACGAACGTACTTCTAATATTTATCAGAAAAAATTGTCAAAAAATTTGTTAGAAAATAATGAATGCTTTCAGAGTAAGCTTTAAAGGAATGTTTATTTCGAGTCATATGTTAGGTGCGCAGCCATAGACAGTCAGACAAAACTTCGGAAAAACCAACAGTAAAATACTACGAAAATAGCGAATAACACAAAGTAAATTAAGTGCCATCATCGTTCAATGACAATGCGTGGCAGTATTTTCCCCAGTCAACCTGCTGTTGTGCATACATTGATTACATTCAGGAGGGTACTTTAAAATGAACTTAGTTCAGGGATTTGGAGGCAATTGACCTACAGTATTCATTTTTCAATAATTATTTACTGACTGCACGATGATTTTACATAATCTTCCTTATGCCTTTTGTACACATTGCCTCGTTGAGGGCTTCATATTCATCGTGCGATAGTCGCCGTTTTTAAAGTATTTGTCTTGTAATGTTCTCCATTTTCCCATTGTCATTATTACCTTCCCATGATCGCTTCTCGCCTCCTCTTTATACATATAATTCATTCTTCCTCCCATCTGTTATTATTTTCGTTTCTTAGCTGTCTGTAAATTATTTATTCACCGGGCTTATCCACAACAAGCCTTGCTTTACCGTAGGCCTCTCCACTATATATACGCTTTAACAAAAAGGGATGAAGTGTACAAGCATTGCTTTTTAGTGGACCCCTCTGTTTCCAATATGTATTCGTTAATTTGTGTAAATGTTTATAATTGATTTGTAATGTTTTGTTGAAACCAGAAACACATTGAATTGAATTGGATTGGATTCATTATGATTTATTTGACTTGTATGCTTATCATGACAATACTATTACGACAAAACCACATGTATCGTTTTAGTTTGTTACGCTAGTTTGTACACAGAAGTTATGTTATGTCTGTATGAAAAATAAATACAAATATGTGGAAAATTAATGAACTTGAACTTGGCTGCAAAGGTTTACTGATTTTTTTGTCTAAATGGTTGCCGTTGGGGTCCCTGTCATGAACATACCTGACTCTAGACACTGGACTTCGGCGTCTTTTTCGTGGGTGCAGGAGGGAGAAATCCCGGTGGAGTGGGCCGAACAGTCCATGATTGAGGCCTCTTCGCCCGTACAAGCAACATCGGCAAGCAGAGTCGATCCAGTTCCTGGGCCAAAGAACTTCCAAACGGTAATTTCAAAGAAGTAAGCGGCTGGGTCAGGGAAGCCCAACTGCTTGCAGACGACATTAGCGTCCTCTTGCGACCATCCAATGCCACACACTGTTCCCCACTCTCCATCGCGGTAGACCTCGACTACGCCCCACCCTAGATTGTCTTGCTTACGTACTCCTCCAAGCCGGACGACTACATGGAAGGGATGTAATGATGATGAAGAAGATGAAGAAGGTAATGATGATAATGTTAATAATAATATTAACAACAATACTACTACTAACCACTAAATAATAATAAAGTTATTATTAATATCGATTATTAATAACGAACCCAAATGGGCAAACTTTCATTCCCTCATGAAGGTGCCGCACCATAGAACCAACTTCCCATTTAGTGTTAGACAGGCCCAGTCTAAAAAGTCATATGCAGATCTGAACTGGGAAAATTACATTTTTAATATAAATATCAGAGACTGTTCTTTTCAGTAATATCAAACCAAAAAAGTATTAAAGCTTTCCTGCTTTAGTTTTCTATTACTCGATTTGAAAGGACGTATATTATAATTGTATAAGCTGGAAAACGACTATTTCCTTCGTGTTGATATCATGGTGTATAAAAAAAAATAATGATAATAATCCATGATATGATATGTATGTAATTAAAATTTGTTCAATTTAATCTCTTTTTTTAAAACCTATAATTTGTACAGGGCCTCTATGGAAAAACAGTTTTAATACTGAAGTGGGGGAGGGGGGGGGGGGGTAAAGGCCGAAGATAATAAGCATGAGCTAATGATCTCGTTTCCTCTTTTCTTTTTTTCTGTCTTTGTTGCTCTTCACATAATTTTAGAACTTGTGCCCGCCCCCTCCTTTTGCAAGAGAACCCATGATCCGCTGCTAATAAATAAATATCTATTGGATAGTTCTCATGCATGAGGTTCATTCTAGCTGATTGTCAGAAGAGCTAGAGAAGAAAGAATTTTTTTTCGACCCCCTCCCCGGTATTTCCCCTGAGAGCGGATGGATGGGAAGGATTATTGAATTTTCATTTATATTTTATAGCCTATAACACGAGCGTATTAAACTTTTCACAATATTAAGTAGGTAAAATAAAACATTGTCACCTGCCGGTTCAGAACTTGTACCACTAACTTGCACTGTGAAATGTGAAAAATAACTTTATCTTTAATCGGTGATTATGATTTCGCATAATATTTACAGTTAAAGCAATCAGTTTTTTTATATTAGTTTTTTTTAAATTTTATTTTATCATTTAGTTTTTCACTCAAATATCCAACATAAAAATAACACATATTATAAACCATACATACAGTATGGCTTGAGGGGTATATCAGAAATAGCGACCAAGCTAAGATCATCAATATGGTCTTAGCGCGGTCAATATTTCTGATGTACCCCGAAAGAAGCCCTGTCAATTTAATTATGAATACCTATACAAGGCATTTTTTAACAGATAATATATAACTTTGGTATCAAGCATGATTTTGATTTCGTCTGTTTGCCGATTTATCCGATTTCAGGTTATTCACTATTCAGCGTATTCATCTTACGATGAAGCGCTGGACCACACACGTCTTGAGAAACTCGAAGTTAGAAGGGATCATCTTTGTAAGAAATTTGCCCAGGCCCTCACGAAATCTAGCCACTTTACTAAACAATACCTCATGAAAAGTCTAATAATCATATGATTGCCTTAGATGAATTTGTTTTGTTAAAAATAAATTCATTGATATTATCAAGATTGTGGATTTTGGTGAACACTGTTATCGATGAATATAGTTATTAGGGATGATGTTCGGTTTACACATACCTTAGATTTGGATATTGATGAATCTTGACTTTTTCTTTCACCTCCTTACATTTTCTCTCTTTTACTATATTACTCTTTCTCTCCTTCTGTTATTCCTTCACTCACATACTACCTTTTCTATCTTATTCCTCCCCCTCTCTCTCTCGCTCTCCCACTTCATATACATATTATGATATACACATCTGCCTTTGCTGTTGTATTGCCTAATTCCTCGCATCCTACATTCTACATATGATGTTTTAAATGTAAATAATAGCCTAATTGTATCTAGTTGGACTCTGTATATATGTACAAGTATAATTTATCTAATTTCACTTTTAAGTATTATTTTAAGCATACAACCTTTTTAAATGATGAATTGTATTTTAATTTAACAATATTCACATATCAATATATCATGTATTCCTTGTACCTGGTTTGCTCTCTCATCTGACGATGAAGCATTCAAAAACACATAGCTTTATTTCTGGTTTCGTTACTCCTGATTCTTAGTTTTTATCTTATGGTATTTTTTCTTCCAACACTAGTTCTTCCTCTCTGACTCCCACCTTTTTTCTCTCCCTTCTTGATTATATCTCTCCCTCTCTCAACCTGATCATCTATTAATCTATGTGCCTTTATACCATCTGATAATCCTAGCTATTTCGGTTTAAAATGTAAAAGAATATTAGTTGAATATTATTGCATTACTAATTTTGTATGCAGTTATTATTTTGTGCAATGCTTTTTACAATGTTCATTATAATCTGTTTTTATGTCAAAGATTTGTAAAAAATCGTGCAATTCAGCCTTTGGGCTGCAATGTGATTTTTTTTTGAATAAATAAACCATTATATATAAGTATGTAATTGTGACGTAACAATGCTTGTTACCGCGCGTACACTTTAACGCCTACTAATTACTGCGCGTATGCACTTTAAAGGGGCACGTTCCCGCCAGTGTAGTTATCGCTGCTCTACTCATCGCCATCCAGTCAGACCGCAGCCGGTGCGAAAACCCTCTATTTTATTCAGCACGTATGCAAGAATTTACGTGTCTTGCATACGTAATGAGTAGTGCAGACGGTCTTCCCGATCGGCAGTTTTTGCCTTTATAATTCGTCGCTGTTTTCACGAAGTGACGGTAGTGAAAAAAAATTGCATTCACTTTGCGTTACGATTTTCCTCACTACCGTCACTTCGTGAAAACAAGGACGAGATTCGTTCATTTCTCATGAAATGGGTCTTATTTCAAAGATAAGAAGTTGCACTCTCTATATACTTATATGACAATCATGTTTAATATATTTTGGAAACAGATATTTCGCCTTGAAAATGGGGTTTTTCGACGATAAATCTATCTAAAGAGTAGGGCTGATTTTCACATAGAAATCATTCTTGCGTCAAGAAGATGTTATAATCAGCATAAAGCATAAATATTTTTCTTTACAATGATATCAAAATTATTATATTTTACGCTGTACCAAAGTCAGGAACCAAGAAAAATCACGCGAATGTTCATGAATAATTAAAAAAAGTAGTCAGTTTTGCCGATGTGATAATAGAGCGTTCTGATTGGCCAAATACGTCAACTACGTCACATATGTTCCGCTTTGGTTTATTAACATTCTAAATACCAAATTTGAGTAAGCATTCCTTGTGGCGTGCGCCTGTAATGCACGTGCGCGCAAGCAATCATGGCAACAACCTGAGGACCCTGGACCAATTACGTCACCTGCCTTTCAAATAATATTTTTCTACATTATTTCTTTTTTAATCATTTTTCTTAATTTTTTCGGCCAGTCGGTGGCGCGGCGGAGCTCCCTGGAGTTTACTAATAAGTTATGCATTGCCATTGCTCAAACGGCGAGCGTGCACGAGTATGAAATCACACAATTTCGTGCCATCATATAGAAAGAACAAATTGGTAATTTCCGGGTTTTTAGGGTCTTAATTACTATGATTATAAAGAGAACAAGATTTTGCGTCAATTAGGTTTTGACATTATTTTGATCAGTGACTTTTCATCTTTCCAACGAATCTCAAAGTAAACAAATTAATTATGTACCAAAGTCAGGAACCAAAAGCGAAATTTCGGGTACAAAATAGCTGTTGAAATGTTACAAAAATAACGACAATAAAAGTGGTGAAAAAGGATCGTTTCAAAATTGTGAAATATGGCAAGTTTCATATCAAACTGAAGCTGAGAATCTCGAGAGTAATTACCGTTGCGTGCTGCCATGTTGACAGAAGTTATCGACCACAAAAGCAGCTGCATGTACACCCTTACAAATCTCACAGAAAATCTCGTGAATTTCAGCACACGTGAATGTACGAGATAACCAAAGAGACGCTGAATAAAAATCAGCGTATAGCCTCATTATCGCGCACGCTGCGGTCTGACTGCATCTTGGTTCCGAAGATCGACTTCTAATTTGCATACAGCTGTCAATCAAATTACGCGCGACCTAGCCTGCCTTCGCCAAGCCAGCTGATCGCTGCCGATCGTGACGTCACGAAAGTGGGTGGAAGCAGCAGTCGAATCTTAGAGCCGAACTGCGATTGGTATTACTTCGGCACATGTATGGGATAATCGGCATTGTACGGGCATTCGGAACATGCCATCTGCGTAAGAGCCGTATTCTGTTGGTGTCAATAGGCAGCTAGCACCGTCCGCCAGCGGGTACGTATTTTGAACGCCCTCTGGAATACGGGGAACATGCCCCTTTAATAAAAGCGCACTGATAAGAAAGAGTGGAATATGGAAGGATATTGCCCTCTGATTTAGTACAGTGGTCTACAGGGAAAACTCGGAAGAAGGCAATATGGCAAATAATGTCCGCTCCGGTTTTATATTCGGAGCAGCGTGCAAAATACGACTTTTTTTTTATCTAGCAGCTAAAATACCTCGTATGGGTAATAATACAATATATAATATAACAAATGAATGAATGAATCTTGCGCGTGCCTGCTCCCAGAAAGACCCACAACGTGCGAATGCACCCGCCCGCGTCAGATCCCCGGGTTTCCCCCGTCGAGGCTCATTTCGCATACATCAGTCTGAAAGCATGTTTTTTAATCACCGTATTTAAATAAATAAACACACAAACAAACTTTTGCTATTGTCCCCAAATTGTATAGTTATTGTCTTGATGCTGAAATGAAACGTATCTGAAATGTTGGCAGTAAATGGATGAATGAAAAGTGGATGAAAGAAATGTATACCTTACCATTAGAGATGGCGCTTGCCACACTGAGGCAGAGAAGAAGCGAGAGTATAGTGTAGCCTTCCATCATAGCAGGATTCAACCAGGACCTTCAGGTAGGATGTATCGATGAAAAGTGTTGCCAGTTCTTTAAGGAGGTGCGTTTTTACATGATAACAAAGGAAACATCTCCTTCAGAGATTTGAAAGAATTCAAAAATATCTAACCCCCCCCCCCCCCCTTTCTCGTAAACCAGCCGACCATGGTGGCTGTAACAAAACTGTCTCGAAGAATACGTACCTGGGCCCTGTTATTATGAAACTTTTTATCAATAACAAGTGTCACATTTCTAGAACAAATTTGCTCACAGCCATTCAAATGCCACGATGATAAACAAGTTGAATAAACTAGACCGAGATGATAAATGGGATAATACGAGAAAACTAGATCCAGTGAGTGCACAAAATAATTATTCATTATTCGTATCGTGAACTCCGAAATGTTATGGGGGTGGTATTTATCTTAAATGTTGACTTCAGGAAAACGATTAAAATGAAAACTTTGCTCGAGGGGGGGGGGAAGAAAAAAGATCAGGAAAAGTATCGATAAAAGTAGTGACCCCGCCCTTTCCCTGGATCTGCCATTGAATTAGCCTTTGGAACAAGGCCTCGTGCGCTGCTTGTCTGCCGAGCAGGGTCTGAAAATAGACTAATAGAGTGTGGCTTTACACTTTACACGATTAGTCTATGTATTCAGGCGCGTTTAGGGAAATACAGCACGAGTGCCTTGACTGGGAATATCAATCAATACACCCATACCACCTTGATGGGCATTTTTTTTCTTCTATCTATGAATTGCTATGCATACGGCCTACATACCTACAATTTCTTTGAAATGCGTTTCAAAGTGCGGTTACCGTTTTGAAGTCGCCAGCAAGTATTTTGACAATGTAACCATTAACGATATAGCGTCATTCTTGCTTTCTTTCTTTCTTTCTTACTCTCTCTCTCTTTCTTTTCTTTTCATTCTATGGAACCATACTGTGTCCACAAAAAAGTGTGTGTATGTGTGTGTGTGGGGGGGGGGGGCTGAGTCCGGCCGTTCTGCGGACCTTGCTATAGGTGTTAATTCCACTTTTACTAATCGATGCCAGCAAAAGTTGTTATTCTTTTTAGACCGTTTATATGTCATTTTTAAAGGGCTATTTGACTTTTAAGAGTCCTTTCATTCAATTTTAGAAATAACCTCTCTTTCTCTTTTGAAGACAATTTTTCTCTTGAAAGTAAAATAAAATCGAGGGAATCCTGGGGTTCCACCCGGATTCCCCGGCAGGGGCTCTGCCAGGCCCCTCAAGCTCTAGCTGCCATATTGTACGGATTCATTAGAAAGTAAAATAAGCCCATTAAATAATTCATATATATAGATATTTATAGTTCTTCTATGCTTAATTTCCGCAGTGAAATGCATAATAATTTCGTTTTCGAGGGTTAGCAATGAAAGTATATTAAACAGAAGATACATACCTTGAATAAAGAAGTAAACAGCTTGGTCGATTAGTTTTGAAGCATTATATTCCAAGAACCGGTCAGCTTAATCCTTATTATCCATATAAATAACGTCTATAATCACTCTCACTGATGGAAGATAATACCAATACGAAATGCATTAAGCTACGTCTAGACATAAAGGTCGAATCTCAACTTTATTTAACTCATTCTTCTTTACATTTCGAAGCGTTGCATGGGATCTTAATCCTGTTTTTTTCTACATCAATGCCCCTATTTAAGCATACTTAGAATCTGGTCACGCTTCGAAAAGTTCGTGGCCTAGCATTTTGCTTCTGTTGATGATCAAATAAAGAAAGCACCCTTTATAGATCAGGGAGAGTGTGAAAAAAGCACACAGTAGGAGCAGTGCAATTTAAATACCAAGGGATGGATTAGAGTTAATTTCTAAAATGAAATGAAAGGGCTATTTTATTTTCAAGAGACCTTTCACTTCATTTAAGAAATAACCTCTCTTTATATCTTAGAGACACTTTCTCTTGAAAGTCAAATAAACTCGAGAGCATCCTGGGGCTCTGCCCCGGAACCCCCGGTAGGGGTTCTTCCAGGCCCCTAATGCTGTGCCATATTGTACGGATCCATTAGAAAGCAAAATAAGCCCAATAACTAATTTGTATATATATATATAGTTCTCCTATGCAAATTTCGTCTTCAATAATGGTTAAAGGCAATCATGGTTAAAGGCAATGTGCAATGTGAAATTAACAAATATAATATTCATTTATTCAGCCTAATCAATGCTTGACTAAATAAATTTAAATTATAGTTTGCTTTATTTTAAATAGTAAATGACTTTAATAGGCCTAGATTAATTGGCATGACTAAAAAAAAGTAATAATCCATTAAACGCGCGCTTTGGTGGAAACAATTTTGGAAGTTAGGAAATGTTTTTTTTAGGGTAACGATAATGCCGATAATACTTTAACGATGACCAGATTCCAAGTAAAGTTTACTATAAAGAATCAATACCGACATTCAGAAATGATTTCGGTGACTGATGTGTCAGATGTGATCATTCACAAAGGAAAGGCCAGCACACAAACAAAGTACAGTTCCTCTCTCAGCTCTCTTTACGTTCATGTGACCTTTGTAAGAGTTCGTTCCCGATTTTGGCGCATGCGCCGTGTGCAATTACGAACTTGCTTATTGATAAAAGAACATCATAATCAGATTATCCGACCCCGGAAACCCCATGAATTCATCAGCTTTTATCATACTAGTCCTTTTCCTTTTGAAACTACGCTTGACCTTTAACTCGGATGGCACAACCATTTTGGATTTGACAATATGACTCTGAGATGGAATAAACTACCATTACGAATTGTATTATGCAACGTCTAGACATAAAGGTCGAATCTCAACTTTATTTTTCTTATTCTTCTTTTACATTTCGAAGCGTTTCATGGGATCTTAATCCTGTTTTTTCTACATACATCAAAACCCCTATTTAAGCATACTTTGAATCTGGTCATGCTTCGAAAAGTTCGTGGCCTAGAATTTTGTTTCTGTTGATGATCAAATAAAGAAAGCATCCTTTTAGATCAGGGAGAGTGTGAAAAAAAGCACACAATAGGAGCAGTGCAATTTTGATATCAAGGGATGGATTAGAGTTTATTTCTAAAATGAAATGAAAGGGCTATTTGACTTTCAAGTGTCCTTTTATTTCAGAGATAAACTCTCTTTCTCTCCTAATAAAGACAATTTCTCTCTTGAAAGTCAAATAAACTCGAGAGCATCCTGGGGCTCCGCCCCGGAACACCCGACAGGGGCCCTACCATGCCCCTCAAGCTTTGCCATATTGTACGGATACATTAGAAAGCAAAATAAGCCCACTCAATAATTCATATATCTATATATATATATATATACACTGTTGATCATAACATTGGAAGAAACAAATTTTACCCCAATTTATGGAATTATTTTGACAATGATTTATTCCAAATAGATGTAGATAATAGTATACATTCTCATATGTATGCTACTATGCTTATCAACTAGGTGACCTACGCCCTTAAGTCATAAATGACAGTAATGAGGATTAATGCCCCACAAAAGGTCACTAATATAGCACATCGACAAAGTTTTGATCCTGGGGCCTCATAGTTACGAGGCCATTGCTTTGCCACTGAACCATGACTGTACGCAGCGGGGGCTAGGGTAGGGGGCAGTTCCCACAAAGAAAAAAAAGAAAAAAAGAAAATACGAATCCTGCCGGACGCCAAGAAGGGCACCCTCTGGGTATGCCGTATTGGGCAAATCCAAAATGGCCGCCATCTGAGTTAAAGGTCAAGCGTAGTTCCAAAATGAAAAGCGCTTGTATGATAATAGTTGATATTTATGGGTTTTTGGGGTCAGAGAATCTGATTATGATGTTCATTTATCGATTTGAGGTCTTCTTGGGGCTGCCATACTGGTTATATTGGTCAAATCCAAAATGGCCGCCATCTGATAGTTACAGGTCAAGTGTAGTTACGAAAGGAAATGGGCTAGTATGGTAAAATTTTATATATTTATGGGGTTTTCTGGGTCAGAGAATCTGATTAAGATGTTCTTTCATCGATTTGAGATCTCCTCGGGTCATACTGGTAATATTGGTCAAATCCAAAATAGCTGCCATCTGAGTTACAGGTCAAGTGTAGTTACGAAAGGAAACAGGCTAAAATTTCTTTTATTGAAATATATTTATTCAGGATAACAAGAATCAGATATACATTGTATAGATACAAAATCTGTTTTACATCATGGTCCTGAACAGGATAAAAATGTAGTACATGGAAATATAAACAATGAATATCACCAAATAGTATGATAAAAGTTTATATATTTATGGGGTTTTCGGGGTCAGAGAAACTGATCATGATGTTCTTTCATCGATTTGAGGTCTCCTTGGGGCTGCCATACTGGTCATATTGGTCAAATCCAAAATGGCCGCCATCTGATAGTTACGGGTCGATAGTAGCTCAAAAAGGAAAAGAGCTAAAATGATAACAGTTTATGTATTTATGGAGTTTTCGGGGTCAGAGAATCTGGATATCATGTTCTTTTACCAATTTGAGGTCTACTTGGAGCTGTCATGCTGGTCATAATGGTCTAATCTATAATGACTGCCACCTTTGAGTAACTTGGTCAAGTGTAGTTCCAAAAGGAAAAGGGCTAGAATGATAAAAGTTTATATAGTAAAGGGGTTTTCGGGGTCAGAAAATCTGATTATCATGTTCTTTTACCAATTTGAGGTCTCCTTGGGGCTACCATACTGGTCATATTGGTCAAATCCAAAATGACCGCCATCTGATAGTTACAGGTCGATAGTAGCTCCAAAAGGAAAAGAGCTAAAATGATAACAGTTTATGTATTTATGGAGTTTTCGGGGTCAGAGAATCTGGATATCATGTTCTTTTACCAATTTGAGGTCTACTTGGAGCTGTCATGCTGGTCATATTGGTCTAATCTAAAATGGCTGCCACCTTTGAGTAACTTGGTCAAGTGTAGTTCCAAAAGGAAAAGGGCTAGAATGATAAAATTATATATAGTAAAGGGGTTTTCGGGGTCAGAAAATCTGATTATCATGTTCTTTTACCAATTTGAGGT